AATAAAATAAAAAAACAGAAGACCTGCATTAGTTTGCTAGGGCTGCTGAAACAAAGTACCACCTGCTGAGTGGCTTAAACCACATAAATCTATTGTCTCACTCACAGTTTTGGATGCTAGAAGTCTGATATCAAGGTGTTGGTAAGGTTGTTTTCTCCTGAGGGCTGTGTGACAGAATCTGCTCCAAGTCTTTCGTCTAGCTTTGCTGCCATCTTTGGCTTTCCTTGGCTTATCAAAACATCTCCCCAATCTCTTGTGTTCATCATCACCAGGTGCACTTTCTGTGGGCATACCTGGGTCCACATGTCCCCTTTCTATAAGGACACCAGTCACACTGGATTAAGGGCCCACCCTACTCCAGTATCACCTCCTCTTAACCTAACTAAGAGCAGTAATGTTCTGCAATGACCATTTTTCCAAATAAGGTCAGATTCTGAGTTCCTGGGGTTAGGACTTCAACATAAGAATTTGGGTAAGCAGGACACAATTCAATCTGCAACAAAACCATAAGAATACAGTATTTCTCAAATAAATGAAATACTCTGAATCTACACCTGGATAACAAGGGAGCTGTAAATGCATCTAGATTAGAGGGGAAAAATGGATAATTCAACAGCAATCACATAATAACCAAAGTCTCATTATGAACCATAATTTTTATTTCCCTAAGCTTTCCTAAGTTCCATAAGAAAAATACCTAAATATAGAAAAAGAATGGGAACTAAATGAGTAAGAATTACATTCACAGAAGAGCTTTTAAGTTCAAAAATACTTTAAAACAAATGATTCAGTATATCTACATAATAAACTAAATGTACCTCTGCATCTACAGTCAAATGTCTATGAAAGGTGACTTGCATATTTCACAGGACTTAGTTTAAAAACGTGTTCCCACAAGTACACCACCATCATTCAGATACCTCTCCACACATGTTATCTCAGCACTATAGTGTCATAGGTGGTCAAAAGATGGTTTGAATGTGGTATGAGAGAAAATTAACTTGGTTTTCACTCATCGCAAAGATGAATAACATTTCATCCTTATCCTCAGGTTGCTTACAATTTAGTGAAGGGAGATATGTGTAAATTCTCCCTTCACTGTAAATTCTCCCTTTTTATCTGTAAGAAAAATAATTACTAGTTTTCTTTAATTTGAGAGGATGTTCTCTAAAATAAAGACATATAGTCCATCAACATGTTAAAAGCTGACTTTCCTATAAATCTTCTAAAGGTTTCTATTACTGCAGATATGTAAAGTGATAGTTTTGAATTTTGTTCCACTGATTAATAGGCCTAACAGGAATCTGGCTGTCACCTTTCCATAATGATGCACGGTACAATAAAGCTCCCCTAGTAATAACAACACATAATAACAGGGACAATTTTGTTGAAAATGTCTTACAGTCTGACCTCTGTGATGTCAAGACTTCCAGAGCTCTGTGGGAACCACCCAAGTTCAACACCAGTGAAGTCCCTATAAGAAGACAGTTCTGAAATGGCATGTGGAGTAAACTTTAGACCTTAAAAACATGCAATTCAGACTTATTTAAATGTGGCAATTAAAAATACTTTACTAAAAGGATATGATCCAGTGTTCCTTTTTATTTCTAGGTTATATATATATATATGATAATACAAGACACATTATTCTAAGATGAGAAAAACCAAAAGTATCCTTACAAAAAAATATATATTTAAAAGTTCTTGGATAACTTTATGAATCTGCTATACGGGAATGGATTGCTTTTCCAGAAAATATTTATTTTGTACAGTTTTCTATGGGCATGTATTCATACTTTCCACTTTCCCTTTAAATTCAGTTAGCAGAATTAAGAACATGAATGTAAATAAAATCTGGGGCAAACACACAAATGTGCTTGGGAGTAGAAGTATGGAGAAAAAGTAATGGTGCAGGATGGCCAGAGCAGTGGAAGGAAGGAAGTAGAAAAAAAACTGAGAATTTGCAAACCAAAGCTCATCCAAATACACTAACCTAAAAATGATAAATTATCTCCAATTTTGTTCCCAGTCTGAGCTTTACTATGGAGGAGGGTTTCAATGAAACATGAGTGAGATAATAAAAACCTTTCATTTGTTTCTTTGACTTTTAGAAGAAGCTAATGTGCCATCTTTTAATGACCTGAACAGTTACTCCTAGTCATTTAATGCGTAGATGGTCTTCAGTAAATGTGTTCTCCAAATGCCATTCCCCTCTCAACACCCACACTATTTACTGCTTCACAACCTCCACTTCCAACAGTTGGTGGGAGCATAAAAAGACATGAAAGGGAAAAAGAAGACAGCTGGTTGCTGTGGAAATAATACTAGATCCAGGAGTCCTATGTGGAGGAATGCTGGAGTCGCTTATATCGGCTCAGCGTCTGATAATTTGTAGGATTTTGTGAGCCAGTTGTCAAACAAAGCCATTATTTAAAAATAAATAATATAAATCATATTAAAAAGAGAGGTACTAAATATTTAAAATGAATTCCTTGTTAATGATTTTACTGTTTCTTACTTTCTCTCTGCTTCTGAGGTTATTTATGCTTCTTTTATCTGTATGATGGGAATACTATGTAATAGTGCACTTCCAATTGGCAACAGTGGGAGTATTTACACCAAAGAAATTGGCAAATGCTAAAAGCTAGGGTGTAATATTGTTTTGTTGATTGTCTAAACTTAAGGAAGCAATGGAGAATGCTTTCTAATAATGCGTATTGAACCTACAATGTATCATGTCATTACACTGTCAGCAGCACAAAAAATTGAGGAAATAATCTTCCAATATTTCAAAACTATTACCCAATTCAGCAAAGACTCTGCTGGTGCTGGAGGAGGTCATGAAGAGGACATGACCATCAGGTGACACTCAAGCTGGACCAGAGCAATAGTGTAGCCCCTTCCCTGTCCTTGGAGGGCAGATTGTGCCCACCATTCCCACAGTGGGAGCAGTTTCAAGGACACAGCCTTGAGAGAGCAATGTATTGTTGAGACCGTCTAAACTGTATACACGATTGAATTAGGTAAGGCCTCTAAATAAACTTTTTAAGATTCTGGCAGATGGGTGCACAGAGCTACTCATTTTGCAGCCACTGAACAAGACTTGTACGTAAGTTCCTTGCCTCTTAAGCATGCCACCTACGAACCTGGAGGAGCCTGCCTCTTCCTTCAGTCTCCCCTTGCTCTCCTTGCATGGGAGCCAAGTTTGAATTTCACCCAGGAAGTTCCTGAGGTTACAAACCAACATCAGGTCACTGATGGAGTAAATGGCTTCCTTGTTTCACTTTCCTATTACTCCTCAAAGTAAATAAAAGCACAAACTAGCATTCATGTCAGAACTATAGTACCAAGAGTTCATCATATTCAACAAAAGGACTCTGCCAGAATTAATTGGCTATATAGAATTTACAAATAAGAACATCACATATTTTATTATTATTATTATTTGTCAACTCAATGTTACACATCCTTTATATATATAAAAATGTAATCATAAGAATGTAGTATATTCATATATTTTGTTTTGTCTGATATGTATTTATGAAGTGTTTATCATCACCTCTCTACCACCCAAAAACTACTGATTTGGAAAAGCTGTATAACTCTATAAGTACCCTTGTCTGCAAACTAGTGAAATGGATGCCTTCCTCAGAGGAGAATTTTAGGAATAAAATAAAATAATGTTTATGCAAAAACGCTGCATGGATTGCAAATGTTAATTACTATCATAAATTCAGCAAATATGTTTCAGCTCCTAATAAGAGTTCTCCTGAGAACTTGTAAGGTTTGCAAAGATGAATAACGTTTCATCCTTATCCTCAGGTTGCTTACAGTTTAGTGAAGGGAGATATGTGTAAATAACCTAAAATAATGTAAGAGGATGAGATGTATTCTATCAGAGAGAAAAGCACTTTTGCTATGCAAGTAAAGAAAAAGAAGTGATTGATTTTACCTGAAGCACCAGGGAAGACTTCTTAGAGGAGGTGGAATTTTGAGAAAAACTTTTAAGAGTAGGTTGCATTTAGATCAATTGAAAAGGTGTATGTGGAAAGTGGAAGCCTTCCAGGCTGACAGATGAAATACCAAATATACTACCACATAAATATTACAATACCATCTAAGGAAATCATAATTGTTTTGATGAATCCACTGCATCAAAACCCCTTACATGTTATTTCCATATAAAACAGAAAGAATTATGCCATTGTAGATTATACAGTCTAGTGTGCCTATCTATAATCTTGCATATTCAGGGATGGACTAAATATTTATTCACTTTTTTCCAATTTATAAGCCATATCCATTTCTAATAAACAAAGTGTCAAGTAACTTATGACCTTCCCTAGTGAAAGAAAACATTCATGTTCAAGTGGATTTTTAAAGTATTTTTTCCAGAAAACTCCATAAACTATGTCTTATTTAACAGGATAGAAAGGACTGTCCCATAGATTTAAAGTAAAGTAGCCACTGATTTCAAATCTGTCAATACAGAAATTATGCACACATGTGAACAATGAAGAGCAGGTCTAAAGTGAGGTTATAATGGGAGAGTGGAACACTGAGGCAAGAGAAAAGTGAAACCTTTTAAAACATTCATGGAAACAAGGACTATTAAAGGAAGAGCTCTATTTTATCCTTCAGTTAATGAGCCTTGCAAGGGTTGACATTACTCAGTAAAAGCATTTTTCTCTTGCTAGTCGAGTATGCTAGTTAGTGTTTGTGATTTTAAAAAACAAACAACACTTCAGAGAAAACTTGGCAGAGCATCTGCAGAATGTCTGAAGTGTAATAAAAAGGAGATGGCTATTAATCCCTTACGCACAAAAGTCTGACATAAAACGTCTGCAGACTTGACCTCAGACGACTCTGCAATAGACCACAGTCCCGTCTATGCCCCGGTAGGGCCAATGGTATAAGAGCTTTCTTTCCACACTGAAATTCCTTCTATCCTTCACTCTGGTCTACAACTTCCATTTCATGCACTCCCTGGGCAAGCCACCGCGCCATGGGACCCTTTCACTCTGTTGTCTCCCTGATGACAGCTGTCAGTCTGTCGCTGAGTGGACATGCAATATTTCAACAAAATCTGAAGAGAAACTGAAAGGGCAGGAGCTGAAATACTCGGTTTAAACACACACAGCCAGACCTCTCTGGAGATCTCCTCAAGCACCACCTTTCATCCTGCTGAAGGTAAGCACCATATCACTCTTTAAGAGTTGGAGCTCCTCGTCTGCTCAGAACGTGGGCATTCCCACGCACCTTCTCATTAAACAGCGTCCCTGGAAATCATCCCAAGAGAAAGAGCCCACAAGCCCCGTGAAACTTCAGCAGGAATGCGAAGGGTGCTAAAGCCAGTTGTCCAGCCGAGGGGCGGGGAAATCGCTCACTCTCCCGGCGCGCCTCGGCACCAACCTCCGGACCTCGTGGCGACGCCCGGCGGTCGCGTGGGGCCAGGAGCGAGACCGCGCCCTCCGGCCCGGCAGGGGCGCCCGGGTGAGTGCCTGCGGGCTCAGGGCAGTGGGGTTGAAGCGGTGGGTACAGTGGGGCCCGGCGGGAGGGACCGACAGTCCTGCACCCGGGGCTGCGGCCCGCGGAGGGAGCCGGCAAGGCCGGTTCCAGGGCAGGGACGCGTGTGGCAGGAGGGGACCAGGGGCAGAGGCCGGTCCCCGGGCAGGGGCGCGCGGGGCACTCACCAGCTGCAGCGCACAGAGGCAGATAAGCGAGCAGCGCCCGGTGCAGCAGCCCATGGTGCCGGCGGCGTCCGAGCGGCGCTCGCGGCCAGAGATCCGCGTCCTCCGGCTCCGCTGCCTCCTGACTCCGGAGCAGTCCCCGCCCGGCGCTCGCCAGGCCCGGCCCGCGGCCGCCGCTCGCAGCTGTGGGGGTCTGGGCTCGCGCACCGCCTTTGTTAGTTTCCCGGGCGGGCAGAGGTCAGTACCGCGCGCTCCAGCCGCGCGTCTGGCTGGGGCCCTGCCTCCCACTGTGCGGGTCTGCTTCTTGGGGAAAGGAAGCCGCGCGGGTGGGAGGGAGGCTACAGCTGGCGAGTGGGTGGAAGTCTGTTTAGGGGAGGGGAGTCCGCAGGAGGTGGGCGTCTGAGAAGTGGAGTGGGCTGTCTGGGTTGGGGTGTGTGTGTGTGTGTGTGCGTGTGTGTGCGCGCGCGCGCGCGTGTGTGTGGTGGTGGGAGGGGATGAATGAAAGGGAGTGCCACGGAGGACGACTGGCCTGTCTTGTTAGGAGTCTTTGGAGAGAGAGGGAGAGGGGGAGAGAATGCGAATGAATGTGAATGAGCGTGAACTAGGGCGGCAGGTGGTGATGGAGACCCGGGCGGCCCGTGCAACTGCGGACACCCCGACTCGACTTCCTCGCTGCGGGTTGTGCTGGGGGTTGGGAGGGTGGTCGGAGTTGTGGGCAAAGGAAGGGGCAGGGTTTTGTTTAGCTGCCCCGGAATGGGCAGGGTGGGAATTGAGATGGGCTGGTGTGCGGGGAAGAAGGGCCCAGAGGCGAGGAGCCAAGAGCGGCGAGAGCGGCGGAGCTCCAGGAGGGGCTCCCGACCTCGGGGTTACGAGCGCGGACCGGAAGGGAGCCGGCGGGCCAGTCCGCTGCGCCCCGGCTGGGCTGGATCCTCGGGGGTCTCAGGACCCGCCGCAGTCGGCTGCCGGGAGGGCGTCCCTGCTGGACTCTGGCACGGAAAGTTGGACTGAGTTGGTCTGGAGAGGGGAGAAGAGATGCGCCGGCTGGCAGCGCGGGGATAAATAAACCCGGACACCGAGAGGAGACCTGGTTTAGGCTCTTTGAAATTGTCACCAGGCATGAAAGAAGAGAAGGCGAGAAAGCAGAGAATGCGTGGCTTTTTCTAGGAATAGAGAATGTTTCGGAGATGAAGATAAATATGATTTATACCCAGAGATAATTAAATTTTTTGAGAAGGGCTTGGAAAAAAGACCTGATCGCGGATAGTTAAGATCCAGGACTAAGTGTCCACGATCCCAGGGAGACTCGATTGCTCTCTCTCACCTCACAGAATAGAGCAGGGGAGTTGTGCACAGGACTAAATTTCATCAGGGCCCCATGTCAGATTTCATGGGCATATTTGTGGTACCTGGTGGAGCTAAGCTGGGAGCTCAAGCGAGCCCGCTACAAGAACAGGGAACAGCCTCCAGGCCAGTTGTCTCAGAAGCGGCTTTCTTCAGAACTTGGCACAGAAACCTCGTTTCCAACCCACTGCTGCCCTCCTGGGTCCTTAGTGGTAGGTTACTAAGAAAAGGAAAGAGCGCTTTTGAAACACTCGCTCCATACAAGGAAACTCTGCTCAAGCCATTCCTTCAGGATTAAACCGAGTTCTGTTTTTATTTCTTTTACAATTTATTGGTTCTTTCTGAGTCAATATGTTTATAACTTAAGACTGTTATAGCCCCCAGGAAAATCTTTGCATGATATCTTTGAAATCTTAATAGGGACACAGGAAAACCTCGGGATTTGGGTCAACAAAAGGGTCAAGAAACTTTATTATTTTAGGTGCCACCTCTGACCATTATCTTGAAGTAGCAGAAAGTGGAATCAGAAATTTTTTTTTAACCGAACCTTTAAGACTTCAGTGATCAGCAATTATGAAGGCATGCTTTTTGTTACAAATAAACATAACTGTCAGTCTGCATGATAACTGAAAACAATAGAAAAAATGGACCTGACAATTAAGTTAGCATATAGGAGTGTTCAATGCACCAACCCCTCGCAAAGCTGTAGGGGGCAGCTGCAGAGGGTGAGGACATAAACAAGTCTATGTACAACTCCTAGAAATTATTATAGCCTCTTCATCTCCAGAGATTGTGATGAATGATGATGATAAACATAATGACCCTTCCTATTAAATATGTTTATCCCAATATACTTTTCTCGTCATTTTTAGTTTAAGAAATACCCAATTTGCAGCTAACATGCATTGAATCCCTACCAGGCACCAAGTACAAGCCTCAGTCTAAGTGCTCTCTATGTATATTCACTTATTTAATTGTCACCAATGAGAGGGATCCTATGAACATTCCCAGTGAAAAGATGTCAAATAGGGACAGGGAGTCAGTCCCATGGCTACTGAATGGGTGAAAAGGAATGCAAAACCAGATAATCTGACTAGGAACTCCTTGGTTCACACATTCACTGTGCTGTCTCTGAAGTTTCAGACCCAAGGAATGTCTACACTGGAGCTCACTGCTGGCTGGGAAGTAGGCACAATAATTTGCACTGATCCTTCCTGCCTCGAGCATTAGTTCACCCATGTGGTGTGATTTCAGGAAACCAGGAGAGTCCTGTACCTTTCCCTTTTCCACTGCCCCCTGTACTCATCCACCCCTTGCATAATTTAAGACAGTTGAAAATGGCTTTGGCTTTCAAAGAGAGGAAGAGAGAAGAAGCAAAGGTAACATAATGCTAGTAACAAGTCTGGAAAGTGTGTGAAGCTACTTTTATTTGTCTCTGCAGACTTTCAGTCTCATTTTCTGAATTGAACTGCATCCTGAACTGAAAATCTTCCTCCCTTCCTGTTTCCTTCCTTCCTCAATCCAGCCTTCAAATATTTCTCACTCAGTTCATTTCTTAATTGCTTATTATGTCAATAGCTATGCTGGTTGCTAGGTTTGCCGTTTATATTGTGAAAGTAAAGGATACACTCCCTCCCCTCCCCGCAGAGGCTTGGTGGTGGTAAGGGAGAGTAGATGAGTCAAGGAAGTTGAGCCCACTTCGAAAGAGTTTTCTTCCTGGGAGGGTGAGGGAAGGCTTAAAAGAGGAATCACATGACTCTTGGGTAAAAGGGAAGAGAAGAGAGAAAATGACAGAACAATGGAAAGAGTGGCGCGAGAAGAGGATTTTGTAAAAGGTGAGGAGGAAATAATAATCTAAGTAGCCAATCTGATATATGGTAGGTTGTAGCTGTATAGCCAACTTCCTCACTGTAGAATCTCAGACAGGTCACTGCTTCCCCGTTAAGTCCCAGTTTTCATGTGTAAAGTGGGTATGATGACAAAACTTGCCCCAGAGGACTAAGCCTGACATTTGTTCTTTATCCCCCATCTACATGCATCCTGCACTCAAGCAGGTTTCAGCTTCATGTCACATCCAAGAGCCCTCACTGACCACACCGTCTGAAATAACACCCCAGCCACTCTATTATAATTCCACTCAAAACACTGATTTGTTTACTTTATAATTTCCTATTTCCCCACTCAAAAACAAGGCTGTTTCTGCAATACTTATCAGGAGTTAAACTCAAGATTTGTTGAATGAAAAAAGATAAAGTGTGCACATTTTCAGCATAATATTTCACACCGTTTTTAATATATCTATATACACATATGTAGGATATAATAAGTATTAAACATGTTGCACTCGTGTGCATATGGCATATGCACATGTGGCATATGATTCTATGGAGTCTTTTCTTTCTCTTGCTTTCTTCTACCCTTTTTATTTCTCAGTTTCTTGGTCTAGTCTCTCCGAAAGTTGAGAGAAGCAGTTTGTCAATTCCAAGACTACGAGAACTGAGTAGAAAACAGCAAGCCTAAAGATAAGGCTGGGAAGTACAACTGCTAGATTTTATAGGATTTTCAAATCCTAGGTTTTGAGACACTAGCTTGAAGGATTTAAAGTTCCTCCTTAGTTATTCCACTGTTTCATTGTTTTTGTTTCTGTATTTTGAAGGCTTCCACCTCAACACTTTAGTTAGAGTGAAATGCTGTACAGTCTGGTCAAGCATTCTGCCATCTCCACTAAAAAGTTCCTAAATGTGCCAGTAATGACATTCTTTTCTCTGGTGCCTCCTGGATGCTGGGCCACTCCTTGGCACCTTCTTGGAGCAAGCAAATTACAATCCTCTACAGCTTTTCTTGTAACTGGCTGAACTTCATGAGTATCTGAACAGACATTGTAGTTCCAGGATGGCTGCTTATTTGGAGCAAAGATAAGGTCTACACTGGAGCAGCATTTAGAAAGTTTGAAGCACAGCCATGGGGGCTGCAATGCATTAGTGTGCTGCCCAGTCAATGCCTATTGAGATCACCCTACTAGTTAGAATTGATTCACTTGTTATGTGTAGCAATGAATGTTCCAGAATGTGGGAGCAGGAAGAGAGGTGACGGTTATAATTACAATATTTCCTTACTCCCTAAGAAGAGAAATACTTCTTGCAATTGTAAGCACTTCCCATCACAGCATTTGAAAGTGATCCCCCAGATGGCTGTTTTATTGGGAGGAAAGGTGAGAAATCCATTGGCAATGGATATGGGGGTGGGAGTGTTTTTAAGGACACTGCAAAGTATGGAGGATGTGAGAATTCTGAGACAAAATAAGGAAACTCCTTTGGTATATTTTGCTTCAAGAAATGTTAGTAATAACTAGTTTTAAAATTTGAAAGAGATAGCCACACACCATTGTTTTTATTTCTGCTTGGGTTAAAAAAATGAGCCACAATTCATATTCACCTCTCATACTCTTCAGTGTTCTAACAACATTGATCTTGCTGTTTATTATCATAATTAGTATTGCAATAATGTGTATTTGGAGTTTTTCTAATGTCCTGCACTGAACAGCCTCAACTGACATCAACAAGTTCAAGCATGTCCTACCATGTCATTTATTGGCCACTACTGGGGATTTCTCCGCAAGGACATGACTGCATGCCTTTTATGTCAGAGTCCTCATGACACAGACACAGTCACTTCCTTACCACCATTAAAATGTGCTCCCCCACCCCCTGCCTTTTCTCCTAATTCCAGAAGCTCAGATCAGACTCCTCTGTATAGTGACTTAACTCGACCCCTAACAACTGGTGAAGAAAAAAAGGAAAAGAAAGGAAAAGGTAGCATGACTGAAAATAAAAAGAAAACATTAATAAAAAGTCAGCAAATCCTGATGCCACCCAACTCGTTTTTTGTATGTATGCATACATGCATTTATCTGTCCATTTATCTACTTATTGGATTAAATTAACTGTTCCAAAGTAAAGAGAAGACTTTTTTAGGAAGGTACAAAAAAACACATTTTTTCACATATGTGGAGAGAATACCTATGTAAGATGATAAACCTTCGCAGTACCCTCACATCCATCTGGTTCAAGGATCAGTCCTATGTTAGCGCCTAGCTAAGATGTTAACATCAGGGAAGGTATATAGGTCTCTGTAATTTACTTTGGCACCTCTTTTCTAAGTCTATGGTCATTTCAAAATAAATAGTTGAAAATAAGAAAATCATATAAAATGTGTTACACATGTGTGTGCAACTGGCCTATGCAATACAGAACAAGCCACCCATTAGAAATGTAAAACCTAACATAAAGTACATTAGTTCAAGCTAATATGGAGCAATTTGTTAGTAATATATGAATAATGGATTTTTTTATTTGCCATGGTATTTTC